GACTCCCAAACAGAGAACCAGCCAAAAACAGCTAGACTCAACCTCTGGACCTTTATTAAGTATGGCCACCCTAACTGAGGGTGGGACAAATGAAATGAGGCCTTGTCCCATGGAAAATGCTTCTCCAGCAACTGCTCATGACTTTAGAAACTGTTGCCTGTTCCTGCTCTTAGTCTAGAAGGTATCACTTATGTCTGCCATTAAAATGAGCCAGGAGAGAGTAATTTAAAAATATATGCGCTAGTCTGTGTCTAGTCTCCATTCAATGCATCTGCAAATCAAATGCCAAAACTATCTTTAACCGTCACTAGAGACCTAGTCTACTCGCACCAAACCACCGGTTGCAGCAAGGCTTATTTAAAAGAAAAAGAGGGGGCGGGGAGAGTCGAGGTAAAAACAAAACAAAAGTATAACATTAAAATATTACGGTATCAAATATGTACAAAAAATATTCAGACTGTGCCCCCAAACTGTGTATAAAACATTGAAGCAAGCTGAAGCTGCAAATCATCTTGTGACTGTCCATTTGAGAGTAAATGTTTTAAAAACAAGTTATTCTCTTGGATGTTACCAGGCAGTTTTGCAAGTCAAAGTGAAGCTGTGAGATGGCTTTTAGAGTAAAAAACGGTGGATTAAAAAGATATTAGCCAAATGCATTTAACCCCAGTACCTTAGATGCCTCCAGGGTTCAAATCAAGAGCATCATACATTAACATAAGTATTAGGGTTTGCTGACTAATATATCTTGATTGACTGACCGACATTTATATAAGCCCTTTTGGGCATCGTGGCAAACATGTATACAATTCCGTGGGCTGGGAGAGTGGAGCTGAACCCATTGTTTCCACCACATCTATTGCATCCCTGACAGCCGAGTCTCACCATGGTCCATGAGTGGAAGAGCCAAAGCAGGTTTTCTGACATACGAGCTCATGTTCTCCATACAATTTAGATGCCCACATGATTGTGCTTCTAAATTGCATAGGGAGTCTACATACATACCTGAACCTGCTATGGGATTTTAGCCTATGTATATGGAGTGGCAGCAGGGCCAGACTGTTGCGCATTCTCCCTAACACACTTAGAATCCCTTGAGGGCACTGGATGCCTGAATGTGGCTATTTTGCCACCATTATAGATATACAGATGGGATGCGGGTGGCGCTGTGGGTTAAACCACAGAGCCTAGGACTTGCCAATCAGAAGGTTGGCGGTTCGAATCCCCATGACAGGGTGAGCTCCCGTTGCTCGGTCCCTGCTCCTGCCAACCTAGCAATTTGAAAGCACGTCAAAGTGCAAGTAGATAAATAGATACCACTCTGGCAGGAAGTTAAATGGTGTTTCCGTGCGCTGCTCTGATTCGCCAGAAGCAGCTTAGTCATGCTGGCCACATGACCCGGAAGCTGTACGCCGGCTCCCTCGGCCAGTAAAGCAAGATGAGCGCCGCAACCCCAGAGTCGGTCACGACTGGACCTAATGGTCAGGGGTCCCTTTACTTTACCTTTATATATATAGATATATGCAGAGAAAGAGAAGGGGGGTGGCAAATGTAAAACCTCATCTTCTGCTCATTGGACTGATTGTGAACAGGGTCCTGTAGGTCTGACTGTCATTTTAAGGTAAGCTTCCACTCGCCACCTATCTGCCACAGAAAAGCTTTGCCCCAACCCTGCTTTACATGAGAGGGTGGGCATCATAGCCCTAGCACTAGTACTGGATGAAGACTCCCGCACATAATGTTTCTAAGGATAAAATATAAAGTTTCTTTCCCACCCCCATCAAGGAGCTGTCAACAAGGCAGGTCATCCACAGGGCAGGCACACACACACAGAAGGCACAGAATGCAATTAGCTGTTCATTAGCAGAAAAACAACAAAACAGCAATGTCCCTGGTTTGTGCTAACTCAGTGTAGGTGTTGCTGAAACTAAGCCCTAGGCATGTCTTTCCCCTTTAGCCTCTCCTTCTGGATCCCTCCCAAGCAGACGAAGGCTGTGTTGAGGAGGTGGGCTCCTCCTCTGAACCTGTCTGGCACGTTGCTCAGCATGCAGGACCCTCCTTGAGCCGGGAGTCAGAGGGGGAGGTGGCGGCAGGACTGGGGCTGTTTGTGTGCACTCTGTGACTTTCAGCTTCTAATCCTATCCTGGACTCTCCTTGATCACTTGTCTCCTATTACTATCAGCTCCTAGCTCTTCCATTCTGCTGCCTAGTGTTCCACCACCAGGCTCCAGGTTCTAAGGTGTCATCTTCAGAGTCCTCCCCAGGGAACTCTTGGGCTGGTGGCTCCCATTGTTTCTCATCCAGCCTGTTGCTGACACAAAAACCTCCCCACCATCTGTTGAGGCCTCTGTTGTTGTTTTTTTCAATTAACGAGCTATTAAAACACAATTGTAGTTTCTACAGTATGAACGCGCTTATCGGATGGCATTTACTTAAGCTGCATTTCCTTAGTACGTATCGTGTCACAGTGTCTCAAATCTCTTTCATAAGGAAGGGCAAGATGGCTGTCAAGTAGACTGACAGTGTATGTCTGAGTTGGAGAGAAGGATTCGGTTTCAGTGGTGCGTTTTAATTGTCGTCCAACCACAAAGTAAAAAAATAAAATCTGTTAATGGAATGATTATGGACATTTAAGTTGCCATTAAGGCATGCGTAAGCATCCCATAGACTAGGTAGATAGCTGTAGGCTTCACAAAATGACAGACCAGCCATGTGGCTAATTGCTTCTCATCATATTCAGTGGATAATGGAGGCAGGAGAGGAATCCACTCATAGCAGTGGGGATCGACTGCCTCTCAGATGTAATGAAAGTTTAGAAAGGACTTTTTAAGAAATAGCCACTAGCAGTTTCTCTGGGAATGGTAGTAAAGTTCAAGAGCTTTCTTGAAAGGTCAAATACACCGTTATATAATTTCCTTGATGTTTCTTTGAGAACATCAAGCACACTGTCAGAAATGGCCTGACATCCAGCCACTGTCCTTTTATGGGGTTTTGTTTCCCATCTGAACTCTCTCGTCCTCCTTTTCCTTTCTCCCTTCAGCTCTCTCCCCCAACCTCCTCTTTATGTGAAGTTGCTGATCAGAGATCTGCCTTGCCCTTTCTCCCAAAAGAACATATTTCAGCTTAAGTGGCCGCCATGACAACTTTGTCCTCACAATAATTATGGGAATTAGCTTAGGTTGAACCTAAGAAGAACCCTGATGGATAAGTTTATATAAGAAAAGTCTGCAGGATCAGGCCAGAGACCAATCTAGTGCTAGATCCTGTTCTCATAGGAGCCAGCCAGATGCCCACGAAGAGCCCAAAAGCTACACACTGAAACATGGAAGTTAGGCTGGCTCCAGATGTGATGATTAAAAGAGGAGTCTATCATTGAGAATTTCAGCCCAGTGCTGCGTCCTCTCCCTTCCCTCTTCACATAAGAACATAAGAATAGCATGTTGGATCCAGGCCAATGGCCCATCTAAGTCCAGCATCCCATTCTTACAGCGGCCAACCAGATGCCTGTGGAAAACCAGGAAGCAGAACTTGAGCACAAGAGCCCTCTCGCTTCCTGCCATTTCCAGCAACTGGTATGTGGAGGCATTGTGGCCTCTAGCTGTGGAGGTACAGCATAGCCATCATGGCTAGTAGCCATTGACAGCCTCCATGAATTTGTCTTATTCTCTTCTGCAGCCATCCAAATTGGTGGCCATGACTGCTCCCAGTGGGTGCGAGTTCCAGAATTTAACTCTGCGCAGTGTGAAGAAGTGCCTTCTCTTATCTGTCCTGACACTTCCAATAACCAGCTTCATTGGTGGTTCATCACTTCTGGTGTTATGAGAAAGGTCTCATAACTCCCTGGTCCTGAATGGGGTAACTGTGCCCCTGAAGGACCAGGTGTGCAGCCTGGGAGTCATTTTGGACTCACAGCTGTCCATGGAGATGCAGGTCAATTCTGTGTCCAGGGCAGCTGTCTACCAGCTCCACCTGGTACACAGGCTGAGACCTTACCTGCCTGCAAACTGTCTTGCCAGAGTGGTGCATGCTCTAGTTATCTCCCGCTTGGACTACTGCAATGCGCTCTACGTGGGGCTACTTTTAAAGGTGACCCAGGAACTGCAATTAATCCAGAATGCGGCAGTCATGATTCGCAACTTGGAAGTTTAGATAGCCAATCACGTTGGGAGTGGGAGTAGCCCAGGCCTTCAGAAATGCATATAAGCAGTTGCTTTGCCCCTGTTGTCCAGTTCTGTTAGTTCAGTAAAGGTTCTTGATGTTATCACTGTGTCTTGCCTCGTGGGAACCCACCTATACTTCACTCAGAGTCATATCACTATCTTTTTTGTGAAATGAAGTGTCCCAAACACAGACCTCCCAAGCGCCCCGAAAAAATGGAACATCACATTTTTTCACGTGCGATCTCAGCAGCCATTTTGGGTGCTGTGACGTTCTAGCCCCTCCCCCCCAGTGTTTTTGGTGGCTAGAACTCTGTGCAGGTCATGTGACATGAACGGAAGCGCATCCCAGAAGACACGTGTCCCAGTTTCAGATCCAAAAATGTTGGACAGCATGCAAACAATGTAGCTTCTCCTCATAGGTGGTCTTCCTCCTGATCATTTTTGTTTGCCCTTCTAAGTGGTACACGAGCCACCTGAGAGAGCCACCAAGGTAACCTCTTAAGCATTCTAGTTGAGAAGGGATTTGAACCCAGGTTTCCCAGTCTAATTCTCTAACTTTATACCATACTTCCCTGAGCTATGTCATAGCCCTCTTTGCCAATGAAAGCACACCCCAAATGTGTGCAACTGCATTTTCTCGCAACTGTCCTCCTTTTTCTTTTCTTTTTCCCCTCTATTCGCCTCTCCTCTGTCATCATATTTAGAATGCAAGGTCCTCACAGCAGGAACCTATCTTGATTTTGTTGCTGTTGCTTACATTACCCTGATAAGTGCTGCGCACATCGAGGGCATAATAACAGTTTCAATAACCCCCGTCCTCTCTTTTTGTCTCCTTTTCCCCAGTGAAATTTAGCGGCTGCTCTGAGAGCAAAGGAATCCAATACGAAACTGACAACTTGGACTTCAAGGTGAGGACAGATGGGACTATCTACGCCACCCAACAGGTGCAAATCCCCTCGGAGCAGACAATATTTATGGTGACGGCATGGGACCACCAGGCCGTAGAAAGCTGGGAAACTATGGTCAGGTTACTGGTGGGAGAAAAATCACAACACAAGGGACAAAAGGTAAAAATAACAATGATGGCAATTCAGAGAAGGGGAGGGGGAGAATTGCCAATACATTTGTTGGCTTTATGATGCCACAAGACTCTTTTTGTGGCACATTGTTGCAAGCTTTTGTGTGGGCAGCGGGTGGGGGGCTTATTATGGGAATTTCACCACCGCCACCTTAATCTGGCCTTGGTGCAAGGTGTTAGTGTTTTTGCCTATAGCCCAGAAAGGCTTGGGGCCCTGTGCTCAAAGGACCTTGTACATCATTATAGGCCTCCACAATCTCTAATGGTCAATTAAAATGTGCAAAAACAGTGCATGCTAATATCTTGGCTGGAATGTGGGAATCGTATATTTAAAAGGTCTCCATGTTAACAAGCAATATGGACTCTACTCCCTAATGTGCTAACTCTCCATGACCTGCGGGATGTTTAAAAATAAATAAATCCCAGAAGCAGATACTTCACCTACAGTCTGAAATGGTACAATCCAAGACAGACTGTATCATGTTTGAATCAACCAAGAATGTCCGTTTCTAGGCTAGCTAGGCTAGGGGGAAGTGTCTGTAGAGGAAGCAATTATACAACAGAATCAATGAATGGTGGAACGGTTTCCTAGCAATTTTCTTCCACCAACACCCATTGCCCCTGCATTCATAGTAGACAGCAAACCAAGGGCTACGATGTTTGCTCAATTTCCCAACAGCCTTTGTGGCCAGGAATAAACTCAGGCTGGGGTGAAGGAGGGTGCTATTGCTATTTTTAGTCTTTTGTTTAAGAACCCAGGGCCCTGGATCCATCCCAAAATGGTACCTCATCTTGCTGTTGGCCATCCAAACATTAGAAAGAAGGCGGGCGGGAGATGTGAGCAATAAATAAATAAATCAGACCAGGCATGTTTTTCCAAACAGGCACAGCAACACGCAGTAGTGAGACCCTTGTGAATCATTTCGCTGCTGTGAATTCTATTCCCCGTGCGCAGACTTTCAGGTTAATGTAGCTAAAGGGGGGAATTGACTTTTGAGCTGGGTTCTTCCTTATTCTTAAAAGGCCACTCGATCATCCTTTAGATTGAACTTTGGTGAACTGGGGAGAATTTCTCACCCACTTCCTGCCTTCACGTCCCCTTTTGTGGTGATGTATCGTCCCCTTTGGTTGAGATACAGCCTTCAGACAAATGGGTGGAAAGGGAAGCTTAATTCTCCTCTGCTCCTGGAGCTTCCGCCAAGCCCCTCTTTGTACATTGACTCTGACTCTGCCTGTGTTGCCGACATCTGAATATGTACCTGAGGCTCTTCAGCAGAGAATCCCACGGCAATAAATTTCCCTTCATTGACCCCATTCTTTGGCCCTGTAGCTTCGCAGACGTGCCATTTGCTATTGAAGAAGTAATCCAGACTTCCAACCTGAAGATTTATTATCTAGAGATGGAGGACTGTCAGGTTGGAGGGACCGCTTTTGGAAAATTAGCTGCCAGCTCATCCTGACCTTTAGGGAAAGCAATGACTGCATAGGCTCTGGGAAGGTATTGGGGCGGGTGGGGGGGGAAATTCAGTGAAGAAGGACTTAAGGAACAGGTTGTGTTTAGCTTGCGGAAGTGAAGACTTGAGGGGGTGGGGGGAGCAGGATGGCATAATACTCTAAAATATCTGAAGAGGGCAAAGACTTGTTTTCCGCTCACCCCAGAGGCCAGGTCAGATATAGCAACTTTATGTTATAGACTGTACACCAGTGTGGTGTAGTGGTTAAGAGCGGTAGACTCATAATCTGGTGAACCAGGTTCGCTTCCCCGCTCCTCCACATGCAGCTGCTGGGTGACCTTGGGCTAGTCACACTTCTTTAAAGTCTCTCAGCCTCACTCACCTCACAGAGTGTTTGTTGTGGGGGAGGAAGGGAAAGGAGAATGTTAGCCGCTTTGAGACTCCTTCGGGTAGTGATAAAGCAGGCTATCAAATTCAAACTTCTCCTCCTCCTCCTGTAGATTTTATTTTAAACTGCTTAATGGTAAGAGATGTTCATCAGATACCTGGTGACTCTACCACCCTAAAGGTCTTCAGTCAGAGACAGAACATTGATCTGTCAATCCTTTTCTGGAAGGTAGGTCTTGGACCAATGCCTTCAAGTTACAATAAAAGAGATTCCCACTAAACATCATACCCATATATGCATACCCAAAGCTGCTTCAGGTCAGCTCAGGGCAGTGCAAGGCAAATTAGAACCCTGAACAGCTCCCAATAAGAACTGCTGGCTGAGCTTTTGGAGATGTTATCTGGAGTTTGGGAAGGCCTTCTTTTCCAGTGATCATGCCACCCTTGGTGAGCAGTCTGCAATTCTTGTGTGGCCAAGTAGCTAGAGGTGAGCCATCCCCTGGGTCTGAGGGTGATGGGGAACAACGTCCTTCGAGTGGGATAGTGAAGAAGGGAGTGAAGAAGGGATAATTTTTGTGCCTGGATAGCTCAGTTGATTAGAGCATGAAGAAGAAGAAGAGTTTGGATTTGATATCCCGCTTTATCAGTACCGTAAGGAGTCTCAAAGCGGCTAACAATCTCCTTTCCCTTCCTCACGGAGGAAGCCAGTGTGGTGTAGTGGTTAAGAGCAGTGGACTCGTAATCTGGTGAACCGGGTTCGATTCCCTGCTCCTCCACATGCAGCTGCTGGGTGACCTTGGGCTAGTCGCACGTCTTTGAAGTCTCTCAGCCTCACTCACCTCACGGAGTGTTTGTTATGGGGAAGGAAGGGAAAGGAGAATGTTAGCCACTTTGAGACTTCTTAGGGTAGTGATAAAGCAGGATATCAAATCCAAATCCAAACTCTTCTTCACCCACAATAAACACTCTGTGAGGTGAGTGGGGCTGAGAGACTTCAGAGAAGTGTGACTAGCCCAAGGTCACCCAGCAGCTGCATGTGGAGGAGCGGGGATGCGAACCCTGTTCACCAGATTACAAGTCTACCGCTCTTAACCACTACACCACACTGGTTGATGGTGCTAATAATGACAAGGTTGCAGGTTTGATCCCCGTATGAGACAGCGGCATATTCCTGAATTGCAGTGGTTTGGAGTAGATGAATTTCCGGGTCCCTTCCAACTCTATGATTCTATGTGAAACTGAGTCCTTCATAGAGCAACACTGTTTTAATGCTTTTTGCAATTGAGCCGGAGTGCCCTATACTCTGCAAATATGAACACATTTCGTTTCAGTATTACAGATCACACTGTCGTCTCGAGTGAGCTACGTAAAATTTCTCCCCGGCGAAGAGAATACAAGCTGCAGTCCATTTCAACTTTAGCAAAATATTTGATTGGAAATTTGTAGAATATTAATGCAAGCTGAACTCTGGTTCAAGACAGAGAGAACTCTGGCTTTTTAAAATTCACATCATTCTTTTCTTAAAAGCCTTATTAGTGTATAGTTGGAGGGTGAAAAAACAGTGGAAAACAAGACTAATGACAAGGTCACAGACTGTATTATTGTGTGTCATCATAGTGGGAGGCTGAGCTTCTGCTTCATTTAAAGCTTCTTGCTTCGCTTTTTATGAACAAAACAAGAGTTTTGTTTGCAAAAGAAATGAAACAGGTTCATGGGATTATTTGAAGGATATCAAACAGCACTGAAACTAAACATTATCAAGTCAAAATCCCAGTGCTTTTGAAGCACTGACCCTGACACGTCTGTTCAGGGAAATTGATCTGGTATGTTGTTTTTCAGAAATCCAATAGAATTAAAACAAACATGCACACACTTAGCGGCCACTGAAGGTTATGCACAGAGTTGTTGTTGTGTTGTTGTGTGTGTTTTTTGCAGTAATTAAAATATGCTTTTTGTTACATGCTGGGTCTCCTCTCACATGTTTCTCTGAGGACAAGGGTAGACAAAGAATTCTTCATATGGTGAATCTACAGCTAGACTGTAGTTCTGCATGATGTAAGTGGGGGATTGGATGTCTTAATAGGCATGCAAATAGCACACACACACACACACGCACTTGATTAAGCAAGGCCTTCTTCAATAATCAGAACATAGTAAGGATGTAACATAACCCATCTAATCCAGCATCCACAGTGGCCAGCCTGCAAGCTGGGCCTGAAAGCAACAGCACTCTTTGCCCACTTGCAACTTCCAGCAAGGATGATAATAAAATAGCAATTCTAGGTCTTCTCAGGGTTCAGCTTCTGTCTAGTCAGTGGCCTTGATCCTCCAGCTCATTAATGCTAGTCCTAATCAGAGTAAACCTGCTGAAAATGAATGGGCATGCTAAATTTAGGTTCATTAATCTCAACAGGACTTCTCTGACCTACAACCTACAGCACCTTGTTTGAGATTGAGCCCACGTTTTCCCAGTGCCAGTCGATTCCAGAGCTGCATGATCATAGTGGAGAACCTGTGGCCCCCTAGATGTGATTGGACGACAACTTCCATCACCCCTTATAGGCCATACTGGCTCAGAGTAATGGGGGTGGCACAGATTCTCCACAGGTTCTCTACTCATGCCTTAGTGCAGTCATAGACAAACTCGGCCCTCCAGATGTTTTGGGACTACAATTCCCATCATCCCTGACCACTGGTCCTGTTAGCTAGGGATGATGGGAGTTGTAGTCCCAGAACATCTGGAGGGCTGAGCTTGCCTATGCCTGCCTTAGTGGCATGCTCTACAATATAAAAGTGGCAATACCCAGAAAAGTGACCTGACCAGGGGACAATATCATTGGGCAGCCTATATAAATTCTGTAAATCCAGAGATAACTGACCGTGCATGTGGTGTTATTTGCTTTGCTTCACATTGCCTAAAGGAGATGCAGTTGTTTATTAGTTGCCAAGTAACCTTTTCCACTTACAGAGATGGACCAAAACATGTTGGTGCTTAAGGCAGAAAATCCATATGGTGGTGATGATAAATTGATGATAAACTAAATAATTCACCATTTCTTGCTCTTTAATTGGACTCTGTCGTCTTGCCCAATGATAAGCTGGGTCCCGGTCACCCCCTTGAAACAAAGCATGGTATTTTCATCCCTCT